GACAGAGCATGATGTGTTAAAGCAATATGTTCGTAATACGTTTAAGGCCTTAACAAGTAAAGTGTCCTTGACTTGTGATGTATGGACAGCTTGTACTACTCGTGGTTATTTGTCTCTTACGGCCTATTTTGTGGATAATGACTGGAAATTACAGTCTAAGGTGCTGAACTTTAGGCATTTTCCACCTCCCCATAATGGTCATAAAATTTATAATCTGGTTTTTAGTTTGATCAAAGATTGGGGTATTGAAAGAAAAATTTGTAGTATGACTATTGACAATGCAAGTAATATGGATTCTATGGTTGGGAAACTCCAAATTGAATTGGATGCAAAGGCTAAATTACCTCTTGACGATAAATATTTTCATGTTAGATGCTCAGCCCATATCTTAAACTTAATTGTCAAAGAAGGTTTGAAAGTCATTGATGAATCTGTTGCGATAGTTCGGGAGAATGTGAAGTATGTTGATTCTTCTAAAGCTAGACTTATAAGGTTTGAGCGGTGTGTTTCTAGTTATAATTTAGCTACAGGTGTAAAGCTACGGATGGATGTTCCTACTAGATGGAATTCTACTTTCTTAATGCTTCGTCGAGCTCTTGATCTTTTACCGGCGTTGCAAATGTTCGGTAGGATAGAGAGCAATTATCACTTGGCGCTTACTGCTCATGAATAGGAAATAGTAGAAAAAATGTGTGATTTTCTTGAACCCTTTTATGACATTACTAATTTGTTTTCCGGTTCTGAATATCCCACCTCCAATCTTTATGTTGCCAACATTTGTAGAATTGAGTCACTATTAGTGGTTGCTTCTAAAGGGGATGATCCAAAACTCAAAGAAATGGCAGATCTTATGCGTTGCAAGTTTGATAAATATTGGTCTAATTACTCTGAGCTATTATCTTTTGCTGCAATTCTTGATCCTCGGTTTAAGTTGAAATTTTTGAGACATCTTTTCAAGGATTTGTATGAAGCTCACATGGTTGAAACAAAAGTCCAGGAGGTGTATTATGAATTTGTTCAACTGTTTAACCATTACAAGGATCCTCTTCCTACTTATTCTTCCCAAGGTAGTTCAAATTCAGATGCATATCGTCCACGCAAGACTAGTAGAGTTTATGCGGTAAGATAACGACAAATATTATCATTATTCAATATGTTAATCACTTTTCTGGGTATTTTGATCTTTTTTATTTGTGATTTCAGAATTTTGTTGCAGATGTTGCTAGTGGTGACATGGGTAAATCTGAATTAGAATTATACTTAGAATTTCCTTTAAAACCTTGTAATGTTGATGAGGAATTCGATATTTTGGGCTATTGCAAGGAGCAATCAACAACCTTTCCCAAGTCTTGGTCGTATAGCTAAAGATGTTCTTGCAATACCTATTACTACTGTTGCTTCCGAATCTTCTTTAAGCATGGGTGGCAGAGTTTTAAACAGATGGAGGAGTTCACTGTTGCACAAACATGTCAAAGCTTTGATAACAACTCGAAATTGGTTGTATGGTTATGTTGAGTTGGAGAAAGATGGGGTTGAGGTGGAGAAGGAGAAGGACGTGGATGATACTTCTGCATAGCCATATTTGTAAGTTGTATTTGATTTTTTAAAAATGAATGTAATGTTTTTTAATCACTATAACACTATTATGTCTCTTACTCTCTTATATGTTTGCTTATCTTTTTGCATGTGGATGCCACTCACCCTCATTTGCTCACTGGTTTAAAACCTCAAATTAATCAAGCCTGCTGCCTGCTGCCTACTGCCTACTGCCTACTTGAGCCTTACGATCATTTTCAGCATTTTAGTTTAAACTCTTTACTTAGTTTATAACTTTATATACTTGTTCAGTTGTAACCACCTTGTTTTGGTGATGATGAATTGCTATCATTTGAGCTTTTTTTGCTTCACGTACTCTTTCTACAATAAAGTTTATGATTGAGCTTATTTGAATTCATTCAATTACTATGATACATGAGTAGTAAGTTAAAATCACTATACTATCCAATAATTTTAATAAAATATTAAATACTTCCTCCGTTCTTTTTTACTTGACCCGCTTTGACTTTTACACTATTCAACACCCCTCCTTTGGCCGTCTTTTATGATTAACATGTAAGGAAAAACATATTATTATGGGATCTTTTTGAATTCGTCTCAATAAGTGCTATCATAATATATACTTCCTCTGTTCTTTTTACTTATTGAGACGAATTCAAAAAGATCCAACATGAATATGTTTTTCCTTACATATTATTCACAAAAGATGGTCAAATGAGGAGTGGTGAATAGTGTAAAAGTCAAAGCAGGTCAAGTAAAAAAGAACGGAAAAAGTAACTTTTATAATTTTTACTTATGGAGAATTAAAGCCATTGGAGATGCTCTAAGGCTCTGTTCTTTTGAGCTTCTGGCAGAGCAGAGTAGGGCAGAGTAGATTTCATTATTATTATAATAACAAAAACCTACAAAGTCAATCGATTTACAAGAAATTAGTGGGGAGCCAAGATACAATCTGAGACCCCACCCCTCTAGCTATAGTGAACCCGATCCTGTTGAAGATGTGAGCAGCTGCACGAGCACCAATTTCCTGAGTCCTAGCGAACGCCTGAACCTGCTTCAGCAGCGCAACAACATCCTTCTCTAATTCCCCCAATGAAGAAAAGGAGAAAGGAAGAAAACCATAGCCAATAGCCCTGCAACGCGCCCCATACTTGTCCCGCTTCCGCTGAGCCGCAGCCGACACAACACAACCTGGAATGAAGTCAAACAACCCTGATTGAGTCAAAGGAGAAGACCCCGTCAAGTCAACACGTACATCAAGGCCTTTATCCCAAGAATAAGGCAACACATCTGCTAGTCGAAGAGCCTCGTCGTTCCCTCCAGTCAACCCAACGTTAACCTCCTTTCTTGCAGAAATCCCATACCGAAAATAAATATCAACAAGGGTGTCATGAACAACGTTGTGCCGATATTTAATACCCACCATCCCAGCACAAGACACTACATGATCCCCATATATATCCCCATTAAAAACCCTTGAGCAAGCAGAACACGGTGTTGAAACGGAGAACAAAGGAACACCTAACTGGTAGCAAAGAACACAACGGTAAGGCTTACCATTAATAGTCTGACCCAACCCCGACATTGGGACCGCCCGCAACCAGGCAGAAGCGTGATCCCCCTGCTGGGACTTCCATAAGGCAACCTGACGTGGAGATAAGGATAAAGCGGATGTTTCAGAAGCAGTGACCTTCGTGAAATATATATCTGCCAATTTCTTCATGAGTTGGGGGTAGCGATCTCACTAGGGTTACATATAAGGTCAGTCTCCACAGTCCTATTAAAAAGACTAAGAGCATCATCGAAGGCCGGGCCCTGACCAACAATACCAGAATTGCGAAAAAGCGTGACGCAAGGAAAGCATAGTGTCGAACATCCCCGCTGAATAAACGCCCAGTCCACCATTAGAAAAAGGCAAGGTAGCAAGTCGCCATTGTCAATCAACAAAATCAGGCCCCGAAGCAGTAACAATGCACTCCAAAGATGCCCGAAGGGCCACATCAAAAGAAATCTGGGCCACTTTAAAAAGACGAGGGGGACAAGTGAGCATTGCAAATTAGAGTTTTGAAACCCCAGTACACGCACGAAGTAGTAACAACTCACATTAGGGATCACCAAGTTTAGCAACAGTATCCATTAGCACAATGGTCTTCGACATTCTCTGCGAAACAAGCTCACCACAGAAAGAGGAATCTGCACTGACAGGACCACCAAGCAACTTAACACCATGCACAGGACGAGCAATATCTGGAGGAAAGACACCGACGAGACGGCTACGTGGGTCCTCAGTGGGCCAAAAAACTTCCGTTTTCTCAACGTTTACATGGAGTCTGAGATGAGGCCCCTCCACCAAAATCAACTCCATAACCTTTCCTACCACCAAGGTGTCACCAATAATAGTGCCGTCATCCAAATACCAAGCCTGCAAACATAAGTCGAAAGAATCCCTAATTCAGCACACCAACGGATGGAGCACCAAAGCTAAAAGCAAAGGGCCAAGAGGATCACCCTGCTGCACTCCTTGACGTGACCTTAAGATATGCTCCCCATAAAAAAGTCTGGCTGGAGTAGAGTAACATAATTCAACCCACCGTGAGAGAGCAGGATAACGGAGACGAACTTCACGCAACAAAACCGTACGATCAACCAAATTAAAGGCATTCTGGAAATCCACCAGCAACATAGAGAGGCCAACATCACCACCACGAGCCTCAACCAAACAATTAACAGCATGAAGAATAGCCTCACCACCCGCCGGCACCCCAGCACCAAACTGAAGACCTCCTAGATAGCTTCCCAGACGCGGGCCAATTAAAGCGGCCCTAACCTTTGAAACCAGGCGCCTCCAAACAGTACCCACAACAATAGGCTGAATACCACCACTGGGCTTAACAAGTGGCGTAAGAGGAGCACTAGCAATGTATTCTCCCAACTCATCATGACATTTCCCAGCGAGAAAGAGAATAACCACTTGCGTAATAGAGTCTACCAACTCATCCGAAATAGCAACTGCAGCACCACTCAAGCAATCCATAATAATAATAATAATAATAATAATAATAATAATAATAATAATTATTATTATTATTATTATTATTATTTTTAGATTTTTTTTAACTCTTTTTACAACATTAGAAAATGTGTTAAATAATATAAAATATTAATTATTACCATTAAATATTAGTTATTATTATCAAATAATATTATATATTAATTATTATTATTAAATATTAATTATTATTATCTATAAATATTAGTTATTATTAATAAATATTAATAATTTTTATTTTTATTAAATTTTAATTGTTATTATTTTTATTAATTATTAGTTTTAAGCAAAGCAAAGTAGAACAAATTTTAACTGGGTAACGCAAAGCAATTTCAGCAGAGTAAAGTAGAGCAGATTTCAGTAGAGCGAACAGATCAGCTCTAAAGAATAGGGCCTAATTGCCCTTAAAAGCTCGAACGTCATGCACTTGATTCAAATTCAAGAGAAAGAAGTTCAAAAGAATCGATCAATCATCAACAACTCAAAAAGCAAAAACCTTCTCGTGTATTTCCAAAACTCTCCATTTCCAACTCTTCCCTCTTTCTCCCTCTTCGCCTCCTTCTCCTTCTCTTTCTCTCTCCTCCTTCAAAACCCCCCAAATCCCCTTTTCCCCAAATCCCTAATCTCTCTCCATAAACCCTAATTTTCAATTGTATGCCGCATTTCCGCCGGAAATCATGCCTCCTCCGGCGGTTTCGGTAGATTCCCGACCTCCCTCTGATTTCAATTTCAATTCCCAAAATGGTCCCACCAATGCCGGAGGAGCTAGAGCTACTGCTTCAGCTACAACTGCAACCCATTTTAGTAACGGTTGTAGCTTCAATACTGGGTCTTCCTCTTCTTCTTCTACCTCATTACCAGCTGTGGGCCGGGTTTCTTCGTCGGCCCGCCCCAAGCCCAGGCTTGTTAAGCAGAGGAAGAGCTCGAAATCGTCTTCGGGTTTGTCGGAACCCGGTTCGGGGATCAACCCTTTCCGATCAGTAAGTTCCGTTAATGTTGATACTCCAAATTGTTCTAATTCTGATAGTAATAGTTTTGTTAGTCAGTTTCAAAATGTGGGTTTTGTTTTTGGGGTTTCGAATTCGAATACGAATGATAGTAATAGTATTAATAGCAATAAATTTAATGTTGATTGTAATGTAGCAGCAGAAGCGTCTATTTTTGGGTTTAGAGATAGTAATTTGCATAAGCAAGAATTTAGCTTTAGTGAGAATAAGGCAAATAAAGATAATTATAGCTCAGATGGTGTTGCATTTAGCTTTGGTGCCAGTGCCAAGGATCAAATTGGTGGTAATACTGTAAAAAATGGTGAAATTGGGGCGGAACTATTGAATGAGTTGCAGAAATTGAAAATTGAGAAGGAAAGATGTGATACTGAAGACAATGTTTCTCATAAATTGAATAATTTGGATGCAACGAAAGGTGGGGATCAGCCTTTTGTGTTTAAGACTGGTGGGGAAAGTTCGGATGGGTGTGGTGAAGGTTCTGTGCCATTGAAAAGTGATGTGAATGCTAAGAATTTGTTTGGAAATGGGGAGGGTATTTATGATGGTAAGATGCGTGCCTTTGGGTCTAGAAATTTCGATGATAGTGCCTTCGTTTTTGGAAGCATTGGGAACTTCGCTAAGACAGGGGATTCTAGCTCTCAATCATCTGCTTTTCCAGCTGAAAATGATGGAACAAGAGTAAATGAAGATGTGCTTTCTTCGTCATTCTCTTTTTCAAGCTTAGAAGCTGAAACATGTAATGCAAAACCTGAGGTACACTCGTCCTCGAGTGAGAGGAAGGTGGAGTCAAGTTCTTCAGGTTTGCCTGAGGGATTTGGAGTGTCTTTCTCAGAGTTTGAATTACCTCAAGATGCCCCGTTATCCTTCTCAGCTAATTTTACTAGTGGGTTAGGTAGAAAGGCAGAGTCTTATCTAAAGACTCGAGGTTTGAAAGACAAAAATTTGAGGAAAACGAAGGGAAAACCAAAGCAGTCAAAACCCACTAAGCTGCACCCTGTACAAACCCCGCTATCTAGTGAAGGTGCTAGTGCTACTCCAGGCCAAGAAGCATCTGAATGTTATTCGCCCATGGACTTTTCCCCTTATGAGGACACTAATTCAAATAATGATGTGCCTATTACTAGCCATCATGAAACTTGTCAAACTAAGGTAACAACTGAAAAACCATTTGCTGTGCGCTCAGAATCAGAACTACATGATTCTAGTACTGACATCAGATCTAAAATTAATGGCTATGGGGGTAATGAGTTCCAGTTTTCTATCAGTTCTGACAAAGCTAGTAGAGATGCAGCGAAGTTTACATTCACTACATCAACTGCTGCTCAGGATCATGTTTCATCTTTGAAGCGCTTACATAGAAAGAAGTACCGTATGAAACCTGTTTCTATAACTAGTGGTGCATCTAGGGTCCGAGGTTCTTCCATGGATAGTACTCCTCTTCTCAGTAAGTTGCAGGGTGCTGGTGGAAACTTCTTTTCCTCAAGCAAGGATAAGCGTGAAACTGAAGCTGGTGAAGAGCATGAGTCTGAAGCATATAGTGGTGCCGAAAAAGCTTGTGAGAAGTGGCGAAGGAGGTATATATATTTTGTGCATAAAGATTAATTATTTGGGAATTCCTTTTTTTTTTGGAAACACTGTTATCTTGCTTATTACTACTATTATTTTTTCCCTTTGGTAATTGCAGCTTTTGACTTTTTAAATCTTTTCTTCAGGGGAAATGAAGCCTATGAAAAGGGGGAGCTCTCTAAAGCTGAGGAATTCTATACATGGGGAGTGAATTGCATCCCTCCGGGAGCTGCATCAGATGCCACCTTCAGACCTCTTGTGCGTTGTTACAGTAATCGTGCTGCAACAAGGATGGCTCTTGGTAGGGTAAGAGAGGCCATACAAGATTGCAATATGGCGGTTAAGCTTGACGCTTCTTTCCATAGAGCGCAGATAAGAGCTGGAAAGTAAGTCTATCTGTTTCAAATTTAGACTTTTGTAGTTCTCCTTCCTGCTTGGAACTGTAATTGGATGCGTTTCCTAATTGTTCTTTGCTGTGATCCTTAGATGTACTGTACTAGTCTTCCATATAGTATAAGAACACCAAGTATGGGTCTAGCCATTTGCAGGTTTGGGAATGTCAATATGTAATTATGTATGCAACCTTAGTTCTTATTAGCTTGGACCAACTTTGGGGCTCTTCCTGAGATTATTATAGGTCATAATATGCTGTAGTTAACCTATATCCATTTTTTATTTTTTCTTCATTAACTATCATTAATTATGATTGGTCATAGCACTTTGCTAAAAATAACATAGCTTTGGACAGATTCAAAGATGAACGGTAGAAATTAAAGCAACAAAAGGATGTTTGATAAATAAGTCTCTGGAAAACAGCAATAAAAGGATCATTCAAACTTTTGAGAGGCTTGATTTTCTCCCTTTTAGCTTACTAAGCTACTCCAAACTCCAAACAGTCCAAAGTACTCATCAATTATCAACATAATTCCTATCTCTCTAATTAACTCTCATTTAAAGTTGCTTTCCCTAACTAGCTTGTTACCCAAGCCACTAGATCATAATGCAACTACCAAGCCCCTCCCTCTTTTGTCAGTTCATAGCATACTTTTCCTTTTTCTTGCTGTGACAAGTAACTATTGCCTAAAATGCTGTGTTTTAGCCTTTAAGGTATTAGGTAATAAGCGTTTGATTGCTTAACTGAAAAATTCATGTTTTTCAGTAAAGATAAACCTTGCTTACTTGGTGTTCATAACAACTTTTATCAGGTTTTTGATGTCATATGTTGGTGCCTCCATTATGTTATTCTTTACCCTTGTCATAAATTTCCCTGTCAAAATTTATTCCTGTTGTTTAATTCTTGATTAAAATTTTCCTTTTCAATTATCAGTTGTCTATTGCTGCAAACAATTTTACTACATTCAAACCCAGTTTGTTGCACTTGTGTAAGCTCTATTCTCATCAATTTTTCTATGAATACTAGTATTTTTACAGTTTACATGTATTGAGCAACGAATACACCATTTGCAACCAAGGGGTGTAGCCCCAGGTCATATCTTTTATCTGTCTGCTTCTGTGTCCCATAACTGGTCATTGTACAGTTATTCTGTTTATATCTGTATTGTAACTCTAGTTTATCGTAGGTGTAAATTGTAGTAGTTGAAGTCCTTGGCTGGCAAGGAAAATTTTATAATACACTTACACCATGAATGCAAATCTCTGCTTCTGATAGTCATCATAAATTGCAGAATTAAATCGACTCGTGCAACAGTGTAACTTGTGCAGAATTTCCTTAGGCTAGTTGCCATGCGCTTTAAAAGTGTATTTTTGTATAATTGTGATCGAACTTATCTCTGTAATACTCTAGCATTAAGAATGCTTTTGCTTTTATTTATAGAGCCTTGACCTAAGATTAACCTTAGCCCTCACTTTCTATCCCATACTTAAGTAGGGTCTCAAATTTTGGTGTTTACTGATGGACAGGCTGCATTTGCAATTTATCAAAATTTCATGTCAATTTTTCTTCTGTTTCAGCTGTTATCTTCTGCTGGGAGAGGTGGATGAAGCCATGCAATGCTTTGGCAAATACATGGGTGATGGTAATGTTATTTGTCTGGACAGAAAAGTTGTCATTTCAGCCTCTGATGGGATTCAAAAGTCTCAGGTAGATATATTAACTTGTCTTGCTAAAGACTTCTCGCACTTTTGTCTGCTTATTAAATTTATTATGCATCTAGCAGTTTTGGTGTGAGAAAAACAACGCATGGGCATATTTTTCTGGCAGATTTTCTTTTCTTTTTTTACACTCTGCACTCCAAACAACTGAAATAAGAACTCAATTATTTCCCTTTGGCCTTTAGATATTACATCTGTTGAGTAGGTGAGCAAAGTTTTTGACACTAGGTTGCCTGTATTAAAAAGCCAAACATGAAACCTTTGTAAAATTGTAAATTAGCACAAATTTCCTTTGTAAGTAATGTTGTAGTGACATACATAGTATAAAGGTTTTGAAAGAACAGAAAATGGCTTAACTCATAAAAGAAAGTATTTGGAATTAAGTGTCAGTCTGTTCTCAATAGTTCCATTGCCTCGTCATCTTGCGTGTATGATAAGAAAGATTCTACATTTTCTTTCTCCTCGAGTGCCCCTTCGTTAAAAATAGTGTCATATTTTTGCACTATTTATATCTCCAGCTGACTTGATTCCCACTTGTATTGATTCACAGAAAGTGATTGAGTGCACTAGGCGTTCTGCTGAACTTTTGAAACTCAAGACTTCTGAAGCTGCTTCTGATGCCTTGCAACATATTGCTGAAGCATTGGCAATAAGTATAAACTCTGAAAAACTACTTGAAATGAAAGCTCAGGCACTTTGCATGGTATGTGATGCAACTTTTACATCATTTCCAGTTCATGGTGTATGGAACAAATCTGGAGGCCCTGGTTTAACCATATGCTATTTCCTGTTTTGTTTCCAGCTATCTAGGCATGAAGAGGCAATAGCACTATGCCAGAAGACACTTGATTTTGCTGAAAAGAACTTTAGGACTGCAACTTCTAGGAATATCAAGGTTGATGGCTCTTCAAATGAAAGTCTATGGAGATACCGTACCTTATCAAAGTGCCAATTTCATCTTGGAAACCTTGAGGTGGCCCTTGATCTTCTGGAGAAGCACGTGTAAGTCAAATATACATTTTTACCATCTAGATAATCACACATCCTATCTTTAACTACTCTTTGGACGCTCAACTTAACGCAGCAGCTTCTCTCTCTCTCTTTTTTTCTTTTTCATTTTTTTTTTATTATTGGGGCACTTCTCCTCCCTCTGTTGTTCCTTGTATATTTTAGATGTTAAAATCCTCTGCTATACTTATATTTTGTATCGGTTCAGGAACAAAGCACAGGGAGCGTCAGACCCATTAGCTCTCACTATTCATGAGCTGCTAAAGCAGAAGGTATGCCTGTAGACAGTGATACTCTCTTTATGATTGTAATAATTTGCCCAACTGTCATCATCAGTTTAATTGAGTATATGGAAGTTTGCGTGGATTTTTGATTGGTGTGTGATGAGAAATTTCCATATCCTGCATGACTAGAGCTGTCAATTCGGGTAAACGGGTCGGGTTAGTATGGTTCAGGTCAATTCGGGTTAATGTCATAACCTATGCGGGTCGGGTTCGGGTTGGGTCGTGCTTGGCTCGGGCCACGTTGGGTCATTTCCAACTCGGGTCATGTTCGGGTTCGGGTCTCAAATATTGGGTTAATCCGGGTCTCGGGTTGATTTCAGGTCGGGTTATATCGAGTTCGGGTACATAGAGTAGTTTTAGCCTTACGAAGTTACGACTTTACGAGTAACTTAGAATATATTTAGCATATATTCTCTAATTATTGTATATATCTTTATTTAGCTAAACAATATCTACAATAATAAAGATATATACAATAATTGGAGAATATAGGCTAAATATATTCTAACACTTAGAAATGAGCAAATAGCTATAATTAGTTTATGTAAGGAATCGTATGTATTGAACTATTTACTATTGAACTTCTCATAGTAACTCGTTTGCACAAGCACACAACTACACAAAATACAAATGACACACACAAGATGTCATTAATTTCATATAATATAATCTTATATTCTTATTTGCTTGGCGAACATCATATTCTTAGTAGAAATAATTTAGAAATGAGTACGTAACTATATAACTATATATTGATAAGGTGGTCTAAATTGAATTTAAGGTGATTTGAAATCGGGTGAGGTCAATATCAGGTTAGGTTGAGTTCGAAATGGGTTAAGAAGAATTCGGGTTGAATTTGGGTCGGGCCAATAACAAGTCATATTGATTTTGGGTTGGGTTAGTAACAGATCGGGTTAAATTCGGGTCGGGTTACAGGTTGGGTTGAATTCCAGTCGTGTTAGCAACAGGTTGGGTAAAATTCGGGTTTTGACGGGTTAGAGCGAGTTTGGGTCAATCTCGGTTCAGGTCAATAATTTACGGGTTATATTCAGGTCGGGTCATTTCCGGGTCGGTTCATGTTCGGGTTCGGGTCTCAAATACTCGGGTTCGGTTCAGGTCAATAATTTACGGGTTATATTCAGGTCAGGTCATCTCCGGGTCGGTTCATGTTCTTTATATAGAAGAACATGCAATATGCATACGTCTGGTGCATATTCTTCTATATAAAGAAAGAAAGGAGACTATTTACTGTTTTTTGCTTCTGCGGTCTGCTCATCCTTGAAGCAATGACTTGTTCAATATAATCTTCATGTTCCTTTCTTCTGCCTTTGATTTTGAGCTTCCTTGCCCTTGATATCTCTTAGTAATTTCATTTTTTTTTTTTTTTGCAACTACATCTTCTCTGTACTATGTAATGTGTTGTGAACTGTCCTTGACATTTAATCTATCTTCATTCTTCTTTGCTGCAGAGTGCTGGTAATACTGCATTTCACTCTGGAAAACATGCAGAGGCTATTGAACATTATACCTCGGCTATATTGAGTGGTATGGAAGCCCGCCCATTTGCAGCAATCTGCTTTTGCAATCGTGCTGCTGCACACCAAGCTTTGGGCCAAATTCCTGACGCGATATCAGATTGCAGCTTAGCGATTGCCCTTGATGAAAACTATGCCAAGGTCTGAATCAATGCTGCTGTTTTTTGTTACACACACGCGCGCGCGCACACACACACACACACTTCCGTTTTTATTTACTTGCAACATAGCCTTGTGGCACGCTCTTTGAGGTTGAGATTATATAATGTAAACGAACAAATTAAGCAAAATATATTTTACACATGAAACCTAACCCTTCCCTAATTCTGGTGCTAAAATTAGTTGATAAAATAGTTTGTTCACCTTCTCAAAACCTCCTAAAATGCGTGCCTAAAGGCTGTGTTGCAAGTAAAAGAAATTGTGGGAAGTATATGCTTATGTCTGGTGCATATTCTTCTGTAGAGTAGTTCCCAGAACTTGTGACCCTTGCCTATATGTAACTATCTAGTCTAACTAAATTTGCAGACCATTCTCTTCCCTAATTTGAATTTTTACTGCTTCATAACTCCTTGTTTTCTGTCCTTCAGGCAGTTTCTAGACGAGCAACTTTGCATGAAATGATTAGAGACTACAAACAAACTGCTGCTGATCTCCGGAGACTTTTGTCTCTTCATCAGAAGCAATCTGCGGAAAAATCAAAACAATCTGGTTCTGGAAATGGGAAGGAGTTAAGGCAATTACAACAGCGGCTTTACCTGATGGAGGAAGAAACAAAAAGAGATACCCCATTGGACCTTTACCTCATTTTGTGAGTAACTGATTTTAAGCTCCTCTATTTGGGGTGTGGTTGGGTTGGGGTATAATATTGTTTCATTAACTAATGATTTGTAATGGACTCAAATTACTGCAAGTTTTTTTTTGAAGAAGAAAAATTGCTGCTAGTGCTTACACAAAATAACAGAAATTTTGAGAGGGAAAGATTGATTTTTGATTGCAAGTATTAAAGCTTTTTACAAACTTGTAGCTTTAGGCTACCTCTCTCCTAGTTAGTCTCCTACAATTATCTCACCAATTACCTCCCTAATCCTTTCTCATTCTCTCTATTTATGTACATGGTTTCAACCCTAGGATGATTCGAACATAATTGCTAGATTAAAGCAACAAGTAACATATTGCTTTTACCAGTCAAATTCTTTCTATCTCAGTTGACAAAACTGTTTTTGTATCTTGTCGCTCATTTTACGTCTCAATTGTTAAATTCCATTGCAGGGGAGTTACAAAATCTGATACAGTTTCTGAAATCAAGAAGGCTTACAGGAAGGCAGCACTTAGACATCACCCTGACAAGGTACAGCAATTTCTGCTTGTTTTATTCTGTTGTTATGAACCTGGGAATTTTGTATATGAAAAAAAGCATGTATCAATGTATGTTAAACTAGTCTATTCTTGTATAGCTAATCCTGGCCTTAGCATCTTTCACTTGATCAATGAGATACTACTTAACCAATGAGATACTATTCAATGAATATGTTGGGTTACTGATGTCCTGTATCATGCAGGCTGCTCAGTCCCTAGTTAAAAGTGGTGAAGTTGGAGAAGAAGGGCGTCACTGGAAGGACATTGCAGATTTGGTTCATAAGGATTCAGATAGACTGTTTAAAATAATTGGTGAGGCATATGCTGTGCTATCAGATCCAACAAAGGTAATTCTGGTTTTATCTTAATAATCCTTCCAGTTTTGAGTTCTGACGACCTAGCATGTGGTATTTCATGTATTTTGGAAAAATAGAATATGAAATTTACATCAAATTCAGTAACAATTGTTTGGGCTTAAATTGTTTATGCATTTGTCTAATTAGAATATATTGTTATTTATATGATTAGATTTACCCAACAGTGATGAGATCGATGAATGGAAATTTGGTATGATAACTAATTTTGAGATGATAGCTAAGAATGTAACTCTATCAGAAAAGTTGTGTTCCATCACGGAGTCAGCACTTTATTTTTACCCGGTTTTTTGTTTCAACTTTTTCTCTTATCTTTGGGCCACATACTAATGTTAACTTATGGGATGGGGAGAGTAATATTTATCATTATTCAGAAATTTGTTTAACTTTAATCATGAAATAAATAAGTAACCCAAAAACTGTCTCATTTTATATACATCCTAACTTAATAAGGAACTAAGGGTAGAGCTTTGTGCCTGGGAGCCAATGTTACACAACACTAAATGCTTGACATCTCTTGGTCACAAGACCTAAAATTGGTTTGACCTATTGATGCAATTTCATACGTTGTTTGCATATTTACTATTCTTCTCTAGGCTAGCATGTAGTTGCCCTTCAGTGGTTCAGCTTCTCAAATGACCTCTTTTCTTTTTTCATATTTCAGCGTGAAGAGTATGATAATGAAGAGGATATGAGAAAAGCGCTTAAGGAGAACAGTAATATTAGAACTAATTCGAGGAGATACTCTGAGCATTATAGTCAAGGCTATCCATTTGAGAGGAGTAGCAGCAGGCGCTATTGGCAAGATAGTTATAAAACTTACACCCACTCATACAGAAGATAGCCATGATATGGCATGTGGACAAGTTGAGCTTTTTGACCAAAGATGGAGAGCAGGTTTTTGCTTTGGCACTCTCCAAGAATTTCAATGTGGTTTTCTGGTTGGCAACTAGAGGTGTGCTGGTCAGTGGGAAATGCGCATGAGAGTATAACGTGCTATGAAAGATTCAAAAGTCTTCATATTGCGAGTTGGAGGTAAGTAAGCGACACTGACCTTTGTCAGGTTTGGTTCGTGGCCCCGCGTGCTTTTGGGGTTTGGTTCCTCTTGTTTATGGAAGCTCAAGCTCGCATTTTGGTATGGTTGTAGAACTTGAGCAGATAGATAAACATGGTCTGTCATTGGAAAGTTAACATAGAAGCAAAGCAGATGGTTGGCTGAGGTATTTTTATCACGAAGACTAAGGGCATCTCAATTTCAAGAAATCGAAATGTGCAAAGACATTCAAGGCGGTATTTTTGGTCGAGATAGGGAATAGAGTTGTGAGCCTGCTGTGCCAATTGTTTGCTGGTATAGAATTTAAGCATGTAAACTGTGCATCTTTGATGTGGGTTTTACATATGTATTAATGTAACCCCACGTCTTTGATGTGTACTGAGGGATACATTTCTATCATATCCGCCACACACAGTTATTGGAGAATCAAAATTTATGCAAATCAAGTAAGATACTCGAAAGTGGAGTTTACTACTCATTTGTTAACCAATTTTTATTCTCAACCTACATAAAATGAAATGTGTATTTCATTGAAATTTATAAAATGCATAGAACGAAATCCTTTTTTTTTTTCTTCTAAGGAAGCATAGAATGAAAACCTGAATATGTGTAATAGTCTTCCAAAAGATATGTTAATACTTACACCTTTATAAGCTCCAGCCTATTCTGTATTGTTGAGAAGATAAATACTCTCTTGCCCACTATGTTCTTTTATTTATGTGTTTCTATAAAAACTTAATGTCATGGACCAAAAACTTTGATGTTTGATTGAATATACTAACCAATATATAAGAATATAAATATATACTTCATACATATATCATTATGTGCAACTTTGATTTAATAATAATGTGTACTCTTAACATATGAAATAGGGAAATTCTACATTATGACCTTATATTTTGCGTTTTTTACATTGTGTCCCCTCTTATTGGAAGTTACACATTGTAACCTTCAGGTATAATTAGTAATCATGTTGTGACCTTGCTATTACCCCGCCATTAACAAATTTCGTTATGTTAATTCAATCACCGTTAGTGGGGCCCAATATTCACTTATTAATATTTTTTCAATTTGCGTGTTGGAAAATGTTTAAAGAGTTTGTGGTCATTTTGGCCCTTAAGAAATTAAGGGTCCAAATTGAGCTCAAATTTGGAAAAAAAAAAAAAAAACGTTAATGCCTTATTTTGCTTATTAAGAAATGTCTCAATTTGCGTGTCATTATTTATTTAGCAGTGAAATCGCTCGGGTAAGGTTTAGGTTTTTTTTTATTAGTTCCAAATTAAGTTCAGAATTAGAAGAAAAAGAAAACGTAATGTCCCATTTGGCGTGTTAAGAAATAACACAATTGACACGTAAAATGAGACAATTACATATTTTTTTTTTGCCGATTTTAATCTCACTTTTTGTTCCTTAAGAATTACCTAAAATGACCTTAAAACTTACTTGAACAATTCCTGCGGCTAAAAAACTAGAGCAAATCGAGACATTTCTTAAAACTTATAACGAGACATTTTTTTTTTTTTGCTAAATCTAAGCTTAATTTGGATCTATCAGGGCCGAAACCTATAATGGAATATATTTCAACACGTAAATCGAGAAAAAATATTAATAAGTGGACAGTGGGCCCCCTAATGGTGATTGAATTAATATAACGAAATCCATTAATAACAAGATTATTGTAAGGTCACTAATTATACTAAGGATTACTATGTGTAACTTCTAAAATGGAGAGGCACAACGTGAAAAACGCAATAATAGAGGGTTACTACAAAGAATTTCCCTATGAAATATTATATAGTTTAATCATAAATGTGTTGAATGAAAATTGTGAAAATCAAAATGAAAAAATATATTGAAACCAGGATTACACCATTTAAGTACCAAATACTAAATATAGTTTATTAAGCATATTTTACATATTTCATTTGTTGTACCAATAATTTTTCAGTATCATTTTTCGAGGCACTTGAGTGCACTATCAATCTTCACAAAATCCAGCGGTTTAAGAATACATCCATCTAAACCAGCTTCTAAGAATGCTTGAATGTCAAACTTGGATTCAGAAGTTGTCATGCCAAAGATTAAGCACTTAACACCCATAGCTCGCAGCTCTTTAGTTGCCTTTACATAAGAGAATTAAATTCAAAATCAATATATATATATATATATATTAGTATTTAAATTTATTGGAATACTAAAAACATTTAATTTGTTTTTGTTAGTCGGGAAAATCGGTAATGAACAAGATCGTGAATACAAAAGGTTTTTTTTTTTTTTTTATTTTTATTTTTTTGGTATATATATATATATATATATATATTGGTAATTTAATCAAACATACTAAAATTTTCATGTATAGGGAATTCAAATAATTTATCTTGAATGGTTCAATTTTTATCATCCTATTCATACTAATTCATATCTTATTATTATTAATTTATTAATTGTACTTTTAAATCTTTATATTAATAGCCTTAGATCATTAACAGTGATGCTAACATCAATATTTATAGCATTAAGAAAGGAATCCATAGATCATGCATAAAAGATTACCTGAATCCCATCCATTATTGGCAATTTCATTTCCATGAAAACAACATCAAAAGAATTGCCTTCACTAAAAATGTTAACAGCCTCTTGGCCATTTTCCACAACCTTAGTTTCGAATCCTTTCTTATGGAGTAACATTTGTTCTACATTTTGAACGACAATGTTATTGTCTACAACTAATGCTGTAAATTTCTTCGCATCGCTCATGCTACTATCTCCAACCATGTTAGACATGTCTATAAAACACACATATTTAAAATTAACAACAACAACAAATTAAGTATAGAAGAAAAACTAACCTATTAAGAATAATACATTTTATTGCATGAAAATGATAAATATGAAAAATTCAATTCTAGGCTAAACACATGCATTGCTAGCCAATATTCTTGCTTGTACTCTATTATAATTATCCTTGTTAAAAAAATAAAAATTTATAACTATCGTAGGTCAATAACAATGAAATTTGATTAGAGATCAACTCTTGCTAATTTCCTGGAAAAAAAAAATGTATAAAAGCATATTATTAGAATTTTTTTTGAAGAAAAGTAATTATAATTACCTTTTTGTCGATGAATTGAAGCATACTTTGATACTTGGTCTTTTTCTTGCTTTTTATACTGAAAAAAGGTCAAGCACAAAATCAAGATGATCTTGAGAATAAATATCTGACGTGATACGATATATTTAAGATAAAAAAGTATGATTTTGATTTAAATTATAAACCCAAAATAATAGTTGTTATTAGGCTCGCATCTATCATGATTTGTTAATTAGACTTCATAACAATAATTGGTTAACTTTGTGACGAATGATTTAACTTTTTATACGATACACTATCTAATGTTATCACTGTATCAATTTGGCTTTACTTTGTACATAATCCAAAGTGATCTGGTTCGTTCATGTAATCATCTATCTTTTCACGAGATATTGCCTAAGATGTTTAAGTTCAAATCATAACAAAATAAGATCTACACGATACAATCAAACCACTCTCATATACTATATGAGAAAAAAATAAGCAACGAATTACATGAATCAATTTGGTTAGCTAATTCTTAATTCTACATTTCATTATATTTTAATTGATTTCTTCTATTTTATTTATATTATATTTTTTAACTAGGTGTGATGAATGACTTTTACACAACCTCACATGTCATCTTCGAACTAATGATGACTCATTTTAAATGTACATGAGAACTACATAGCCATATTTATAAGTTAAATTTAGTAATTAAAAATTATTTTAATGTATTTATAAGTTAAATTTAGTAATTAAAAATTATTTTAAGGGCTTCGATTTTTTTTGTTTTTTTTGTGAACACTGGAGGTGATCATGGGCCTGCCAAAGGCCAAAAAAATAGCCCATTCCTCAGGCTGGGTTGGGCCAAGCTTTGGGCCGGAAATTATGTGCACAAACCCGCCCAAACTAGTCAGACCGAGCCAAAAAAATCAACTAAAATTGCATCCCAAGCCCGTTCAAAAATTTTAAAAAATTGCCCCACCAAATTTTGGGCTGGAAAATCTGCACAAAACTCGCCCAAAATCGGACTAGGCTAACAAGTCAGACTTACTTTGATCAGCTCTAGTGAACACGAGGGGCAAGCTCCAAAAGAAGATAACAACCTAAAGCAGCCTAGAAAGCAATACAAAGATAAAACAGAATGCAAAGCATAAAGCATAAGAACAAACAAAAACAAGACCAAAGACACTAGACCCAACTACACCTAGCAGCATTTCGAAAGAAGCACTTCAAGGATCTTGTAGCGGCACCATCGTTGATCTCGTTAGCACCCTTAAGGACTTCCAAAATTAAAAAAGGACAAATATATATAAGGAAATTTTGTATTTTAGTACCTACAAATAACCCATTTATTAATATTACCACCTAAAAAAAATTATTTTAAAATACCACCTAAAATTGACAAAAATTTAGATTTCACCACTTATTGATACCTATAGACTTTGTGTTTTAGAGGTGATATTTTTTAATTTTGAAAAAACGAACAATTTGTTCAACAAAGAGTGATTTGAGGGTGGTTATACAAAGAAATCCTTAAATAAATCCGGTGAAATAAACATACTCCCTTCGTTCCATAATACTTGACATAGTTCTCATTTTCGTTCTTCTCTAATACTTGACACGTTACTAAATATGAAATTAGACCACTAATAAAAAAATTATTTTCCTACATTTCTCTCTCCTCACCTAACCCACTCCCACCCCACTTTATGTAATTTTACAATATAAAAATACAAAAGAGAATCTTTTATACAATAAACAAATGTTTTAAATAGACCTACTTGTAATTTTGTTAAACTACGTGTCAACCCCAACTGTCTCAAGTATTATGAGACGGAGGGAGTAAAACATTACCTTACCAATACCTATTTTCAACCAAACCTTTCTTTCCTAAAAATAAAAAAGGGGAATCAACCAAATTACCAAACACCTCCAAGTTTTATCAACATTAAACTCAAATCAAACACTCACCTCTATTCCATTATATTCTCACCACTCTCTTTTTCCTCTTCTCTCTTGTTGCCGCCGCTCAAACCCTTGACACCAACAGCAGCAGCCATAACAATGGCGAGTTACGACCTGACCCCGAAAATCGCACCCCACTTAGACCGTCATCTGGTCTTCCCTCTTCTCGAATTTCTCCAAGAACGTGAAATGTACCCTGAAGATCAGCTTCTCAGGAATAAGATCGAGCTTCTCAATCAAACTAACATGGTTGATTACGCCATGGATATCCATAAGAGCCTCTATCACACCGAGGATGTTCCTCAAGGTATATAATTTTAATTTTCTCTCTCCTAGGGTTTGTTTTTTTGATTTTTTTGGGTTTGGGTTTTAGGTTTAAGGTTAATTTGGATTGGATTTGATTGGGTTTGATTTGAGTGTAGAGATGATGGATAGGAGAGTTGAGGTTGTTGCGAGATTGAAGTCGTTGGAAGAAGGTGCGGCTCCTTTGGTTTCGTTTCTTCAGAATGAGGATAAAGTTCAGGAATTGCGTGCTGATAAACAGTATAATCTTCAGATGCTCAATGAGCGTTATCAGGTTTTTATTTTCCCGACTACTCCTTTCGTCTCTAAAAGTTCTATCTGTTCTACTTACGTATAATGAGTAATAGACATTATAAAATTTTGATTTTTTTTTAGAAATCAAATTTATGTAATTTTTAAATTAGTTGTAATTGAATGAGTAATTGACCTAATTGTCATTAATCGTTATCTTGTGTATGATTTGATTAACTTAAATGTAAATTCAGCTTCTTTATGACTTGTTTTGTTATAATCTGACTCACTGTTAGAATGAGGTGTATTCTGCAAGGACTTAATGTCATGTATAGAGTATATCTTTGTTATCTGTGGTTAGGGAGGGGAGGGGGTAATGCTGTCTGCGGAGAAGATGATACGAATTGTATTTCTATGATTGCTCTATGTTTAGTGTTGCTGGAGCCGTGGTTTAGGTATTGAGTTTCTAATGGACATGGGCTTTATTTGTTCATGTATGTTAATTTTATTTTGCGCAACTCCTATGGCTTCTAATCATGCTGACTGCTGTGATTATATTATTAGGTGAAGGTTAGTACCAGTGGTGTTTGATGAAATCACTCTGAAAGTCTGATGGCATATTTTGTGGGGGATTTGAATTTTAAACATTAGCTTTAACTTTTAGTGAGGGTTACACTATCGTGTTTTCTTCTTTCGTCTTAGAACCCTACTTCATTGCCTTTGAGAGAACTTAGTGAGCACTCTGTTTGTTCCGTTGCAAACAAAGGACAAATGTTGAAGCTCCTTTCATTTCACATCCTTGCATCAGAAACTTTAATGCAGATGGAAAAGCCTTTGGAGTTTGGACATATCAATTCTTCCATAAATCATCTATTTTTATCAATGCTCTTGAAACAATAATTTTTCCTTTGTTGACTTCTTTTCTAATGGCCGATCCAATGGGTTCACAGCTAAATTTCTTTCATTCAAATGAGGACTCTATTTCACCCGGCCTAGAAGTGAACTGTTTGTTGGGGCAGCCTGGAATCCTGGATGATTGTCCTGTTACTCAATCATGGTCAAATCCAGACTGCCTTAAATTATTCTCTAGTGGCAGTAAATCTAATTTATTTAAAATCTTCTGATCACTTTTGATTTTTATCGTTTATCTTTTATTTATTAATTTTAATTTTCTTTGTTTGTGTTGGTTTGAAAATGGTTGCATGACTCTTTTTTTCACATGAAAGGTAATTAACACTGGGATAATTTGCATGGTTTAAAAGAGAAATTAGTGGCATAATAAACAATGCTTTCAATGATTTTACAAAATAAGGTCCTTTTTCTAGTACTGTTACTCATGGTTAGATCAATAATTAGCTGGTGAGGATGTTACTATTCATATTATTTATTTTCTTTTCTAGTAAAACTTTGGAAGTTCATAGTTTGTTTGAGCTTTTCATTCATTCATTTCGTTATGAGTCATATAAATTTTCTGTTCGGTGCTATCAAGTGCACTGATTTACTGTAATGCTTTTTTTTGGTGGCTGATGCCCAAAGATTCTTTTTGGTTGTGGTTTACTCTAGCTTATGGTAAAGCAAACATCTGAGTAGTTAAGCCTATATAGCAACACTGCATTTTTTTATTTATTTGGGAGAGATACAAGGCAAGTTTAGGAGACCCTTTTCTTAAGGGTGGAATCTAGCAACATATCTGATTAATATCTGGAATTTTACAACTGATCTAGAATGACATGACAAGTTCAAGTTAGTTTTCTAGTGTGGCAAACATTGTGTAATTGGCTGACAGAGCAGTCACCACTCACCAGCTTCATTGTTTGTCATACAGTAGCTGATTATTTGTTTATTGTGCCATGTGATTTTAATTTATGTAAATTCTTTTTCTGGGCATATTCTTAAATCTCATTGTTGGTTTTGTTCAGATTGGTCCAGAGCAGATTGAGGCATTGTATCAGTATGCTAAATTCCAATTTGAATGTGGTAATTATTCTGGTGCAGCTGATTTTCTCTATCAGTACAGAGCTCTGTGCACCAATAGTGAAAGAAGTCTCAGTGCATTGTGGGGAAAGCTCGCTGCTGAAATTTTAATGCAAAACTGGGACATTGCCCTTGAGGAACTCAACCGTTTGAAAGAGATAATTGATTCTAAAGTCTGTTTCTTTGTTCTTTTCTGATTGTTTTGTAAAAAATAACTCCTATTGTTGTGTTATGTGTTTGCTGATGACCAATTTGTGCT